ACGATTGATATGAAGCAGAGTGCACGACACACTTACGTGAAGTAGAGCATACTGGATCTTTAACATGTTGACTGCTATGTCACCCAAATTCGGATGACACGTCAAGTTCCGAGTGGGATAGGTCACCTATGTACGAGTGACGGTTGGCTGGGCTTGACTGATTTAATTCTAAGCAAGCATTTCGTGTAGCAGTCAACAGAATATAGTAAGGCTAACAGAATATTACGAAAATGATGATATTAATGTAGGTACTATCTAAAATAGTTTAACCCCTTCCACTATTATTTCTTTCACAACCGCATTCCTTAAAACTTTTATTAAAAATTATCAATTAACATTGTTAATAATTTAGTAGCAATAAGAGATACATCTACGATTTTCTTGTGCCTACATTTACCCTAAAAATAATAAAATAGTAATATTAAGTTTCAATTCAAAAGAACTGTACAATATTTCTAATTACTATTTTCTATTTGAAATCTTTAACACGGGTTTGACACAATATTGCACGGCAAAGAGTTATATAAAAAAGCATATTTTAAATACACAGTTTTATAAACTGTGATACATATAATTGAGTTTAAGTTGTTTCTCTTGCAACTTTTTAATTAATAGTAAAACTACTGTACAGGACAAATTGGCCTACTTCAGAATTTTTATTTTGCAAGTATTTAAATTAAGAAGGCATTCTTGCGAGAGATTTTAAATTAAATTTCTGTATTTGTACAAACATAAGACTAGATAAACCTTTTGAATCTCAAGAAGCGTATTACTATTTTTATAAAACATTGGAAATAAGTCACTCCAATTGCTCGGTAGATTTAATATTAACTAACAAGACCTTCTCTTTTTCTGATAAACTGATTGTAATCCTTTGCCTCATAATAATGTGTGGCACTCGCGATGAAGATTTCAAATTGGATTTAACAAACCTAAATATTAATCAATTATTTTGAACTCAAATGAAATATTATTTTCATTATATTTTAGAGGAAATACAGACATAGAATATGCCTAGAATTTTTCTCTCTTTTCCAATAAATTATCAATGACAAAGTAGTTCTATCTATTATAGTTGAGAAAGAAATTATAGGGCAAAGGATTGAAAAATGTTACACTCTTCGCACATTTAGTGCAGTGTTGTGTTGTATCTAAAATCAAATGCACTTATTTTTAGATTTGTGAAGATTATAAATGAGTATAAATACTGCTGGGAAATCACTTGATCGCTAAACTGAAGAATTCGGTTGATCAATCAGTTTTCATTTGTTCTTACTCAGTTTTCGGTTGATATTATTTGATAATTTTTATATTTTCGATTATCAATTTGCCATTCGTCAATACAAATCAGTTATGTATAATCAATCGAAACAATACACCTGAAAACTAGATGCCTTTTTGCTAGACATCAAGTCATTTTCCAACTCTACTTACTACTCACTACGATTGATTATAATTGATAAATAGTAAGAATGATAATAATTAAATGAAATAAGAATGCAGCCTTTGCGTTTTAGAAGAATCTGTACTTATAAATTTTGGTCGATCGACAGAAAGTGAGAATGAAATATGTAGCTTCCAGCTATTGTTGGTATTCACGTTTTAGGATATGTCGACGGTGTCATAAAGTAGTCGATACATCGAACCACGATGGCTACAATATCGAAGAGATTGTGGTTTGCTGAAGTTTTTTTTCAACGCTACGATTCTGTAGTAGTTTATCGAATGTCACGTTAAAATTGATCTATCCTATCATTGTCAATTTCTATTCAGCACGTCATATAAAATGTGTCTTAAAACTCATTGGAAGCTCCAAGAAGTCTATAAATACTGTTGTTTCTTTGCCTTAACTCCCGACGATGTAAATTTAATGATCACATCGTTATTATTTTTCATCGTTGTGGGAAAGACGTCGCTAATTCTTCACGATTCGTGAATATTACTCTGAAGTGCTGTCTATTTAGCCGTGGAGCGACCCAAATTAAAGTATTGGGAAACTTTCAAGTTTACTGATAGATTTATCGACAAGAAATCACTTAACGCTAATTAATACTATAAAACGGTGACGCTGAAAAACGTGCAACAATTCAGAAATCTATTTGTATCCGTTCGTTACTGATTGATTCTGCATACAAAAATTCAATGTTTCTGTGTAAACATTTCTGAATTATTTATATATTTAACCTCTTTAAATTTGACGCGCATTTTAACACGTTGCACGCCGGCCCCGCGATATTGCAGAATATTTTTCTGTGTGTATGCATGTCTTACACACTGATATGCATGTAATTTCTGTTTTGCTGGATCTTTGGCTTTTGTTAAAGTGTATGTGACGAATATTCAATCAAAATATACTATTTTACGAAAATGTATAAGGTTTTTAATATTTTCTTTACCTGCTCATTCTTCAGAGGCAAGCAGGTAAGGCGAACATTCAGGATTTCAGAAGCTGATATTTGACACGTTCAGTGCCGCACCGATTTTTGGATACTTTTCGAATGCATGCGCCCCACAAGTTACAATTAAATTGTTTTGCTCTTTGCCTATGAGATTACAATGCATTAGACAATAAATCAATGAATTTAATTTTTAAGTAATTATTTTAATAAATACGTGGTTGAACATTTACTCTACTAGGCGACCCATCGGCCTGAACGGAAAGTTCGGAGTGCGGCGCTTATGCTCCATACGGCACGGAACGTGTTAACCGGCGTGCAGTGTGTTAACACTGGAACTACCAAGCAATTAGAGTGACTTATTTTCAATTTTTTATAAAAATTAGAACAATAAGTTTCTTGAGATTCGAAAGGTGTTCTAGTCTTGCAGTTGTGCAAATACGCGAATTTCATTGAAAATCTACCGCAGAAACGACTTCATAATTAGAATACTTGCAAAATAAGAATCCTGAAGTGGGTCAATTTGACTCGTCCGGTAGTTTTAGTATTAATACTAAACATACCGGCGCTTTATATGTACCAATTCCTACAGTAACCAGTCAAATAATTGGTTATAAAATAAAAGTAAATAAGTTAGGCGGTACATTTTTCTTAGTGGAAACAGAAACAAAGGGAAAGAAAAATTGAAAAACTGATTAATTTGATATTATAGGAATTGATTTAATGTTAAATGAATGAAGAAAAACGCAGAATTTTAAATCAAATTTTAAAGCCAATCATTTGAGTGGTCGCGGTACGTTTGGTGATAATGATATTTGTGATGTGATAGTTCTTTTAGAAAAAGAAAATTTTTCTGATTGGAAATAGAAACAAATAGGAAGACAACAATTTTAAAATTGATTAACTCGATAATATAGGAATTGATATAAAGTTAAAAGAATGAAAGAAAACATAGAATTTAAAATCATATTTTGAAACCGGTCATTTTGAGAGCGGTCGCGTTATGTTTAGTGATAATGTATACTGTTTTACTACTTTCAATATTTGATAAAATATTGAAGCTATACCAGGCAACCATATATACACTCTTGCTTTGAGCCAATTTTTATCAGAGAAGTAGTACACTACCTTATTTTATTCAAAATATATGTAATTACTAATATAATGTAATTGGTTTGACTAAAAAGACTGATCTAAGGACATATAGATCACAGAACTCTATTTGCTTTTGACCAAATCGAATTAAGGTATTCATTAAATCAAGAGCTGCGTGAACAACTAGGATTTTGATAAATTTTGGTTTAGCCAGCCAAGTGAGGTCGTGCTGACACTTAGCTTGCTGCATTCAGAAACCATCCTAGCATCTGATGACTTGATTTGTGACGCGTAAATGGAGTTTATGAAAGGAGTAAGTTTATTATGTCGTTAAAGTTCAAAGGGCTTTAGAGTTGTTTTAATCTCTTGACTATAAAAAATAATAACAAAAATTTCCTGGAAAGTCTAAATTTTCTTAAATCATATATTTATAATGAGAGTTATAGTATATTTATATAATATTATGTTTTAATATTCTTTATGTGATATATTTATGGCTCGGACAGTCAGGACATTAAAGGCGTTTTTGCTTAAAAATACTAATAAGCGAGTTATGATTATTGTTGTCTCAACAAATTACTAAATTAATGTTTCAAACTAATCGTATACATTCGGCCCTCAATTTAAGTGGCACATTTTTACGCGATAAATTAGGACACTATTTACGTGGTGGTTTTTACACGTGATCTTAATTTAGTAACACTGGATAAAATGTAAGTACTTTTATTTTCTGAAGTGTCATTATTATTATATCTTTTTTTTGGCAATGTGAAATAAATATGTATTTTTAAAACTTATATCAACTTTTATTTCCAATATTTTGTTTTCTTTTATACTGATTTTCGCGTAAATCGAAGGTCAGGTATACATTATGAAACACCTATTGCAACGCCGTTGATTTATGTTGATTTTCAGGTTAATTATACCTTAAGTCTATATTCATCTTGTTTATAATTGGTTAAACGATTGAACATAACCTATATTAAATTTTTAAACTTGAAAAATTCTATTCTCCTGATTTAAAATTTCATTATTGGACAGCTTCTACTGTATGAATAATTAATAGAATTTAACCAGCAAATTCTGTATGAAACTGAATATCAGATGATTGTTATCGTGTTTGGTTAATTGTTTGGTTATTCACTTACACTAACGCATTTACAATGAATGTGAAAATGGAATTTGTGGTTGTTAGTTGCAAATGTTTCAATACGATCGAATTTTTATGTCAACATCACAGAGTTACTAGAGTTTACTAGGCTATGTAGTAAAATTAAGTGAAATGTTGATTTCTTGTTATAAATCAGTTGTTTACCGACAATAACAGAAATCTACTATGAACTAGGTTTCGAACTTTATATTTAAAATATTGAACACAACTTTCATCAATGTAGAACATTTTAAGTAAGCGTTTTGTTGAAATGAGAATTTGAAAAATTACTATTAATATTGTTGCACATGATCTTTCTATGTTAGTTCGAATGAAAATTATACCGTCAAACTGCTTACCAGGTGGTCCTGGTGGACCGGGCGGTCCTTCGAACACTCCAGTCGCAAACGGTTCGCCGTTCAAGGATGTCGTTAAGCCTCGGTCACCTTTATCACCTCTGTCACCCTGCGAATAATGCAGTTTGAATTAATGAAAACCGCGGTTTGTAATCGTTCAAGGAATGACCTTAACACTAGGTTTACGGACGTTTATTATATATTTAGTTTATTCTATTGTTCCTAACAAAATAGATATCCGTTCATTCCGACCTTGGAAATGTAGGGTTTAAACATAGACGATCAGGATACGTGTTCCTGCAATTGCATCAATCAGCATCGACTTAAACATTTACCAAATAATGTTTATAAAATTCAATATGCGTCAAATTGTTCCATGAACTTAGTGATAAATAAGTAGTAGAAATTAAGGAGTGTGAATTAAATGTTCAGCACTTGAACATCAAGAATTTGAAAAATTGAGAAATGCTCTGAAATTCTCGAACTGTACTAGTATAAACTTGTACTTTATAAATGGTCTAAAAATATACCAGACAAACAAATTTATGTCATGATGACAAAAAAGATTTTTTTCGGTAGATTTCAATGTTTGCTAAAAGGAAGTGTTGCTTTGATTGCACTTTAAACAGCTTTACAAATGTTTTTCACTATTTGGCATGTTTATTTATTACTTTGTATTCTTATTTAATTAGTTTACAATATATTCGTTGTTATTTCCAGTTAACTATCAATTAGATAATGTTCAGCTACGTTCATTTTATTACTTAGATTCCTTTTCTGACACTTGCGAGGCATGTAACTTCGAAGACCCATTTGGCGTGTGAATAGTTCATACCCATACATAGATATCAATTTTTCACATATGTTATTCACATATATTACAAAAAATAACAGCGAATCTCAAAGGACACATACATGGAATGTAAATAAAAAGTTCCAGCATTAAAATAAAAATGATAATTTATGCAGTAATTTGCTAACAATTTTATATTACAATTAACGAAATGTAACAAATTGTAGTCGTATGCAAAAGCATAACAACAACTGTGCTACTTTACGTAAAGATATTATTTTCGTTATAATCTACGTTGAATTGTTATTAAATTCTTCTTTTAAATTCTATTTCTTAATATTAATTTTGTTATTAATGTTGTTTGAAAATTGACATCATTTAATTATATAAGAATAGTACTTAATTATTGTATTTTAATTAAAATATTTTTATAAAAATATTACTACATATACTAGTATAAAGGCAATTTCCTTTTCACAAGAGTTGCTTCTAATAAATAAAAAACACAATACGATTATAATGAGGTATGAGTTCTTCGTCTAATTTTACCTAATAGAGTATATAATATACCCTGTTACCCGATTAGATATCACGAACACTATCTGGTGAGATAGAGTTTCAGAAATTTCCGGCTACAGTAGAGCTCTAATTATCCAAACCAATTTGGATCAAGGTGTTCCGGGAAATCGAATTGTTCGAATAAATGAACAATTCGGCCAATTAAACATGTAGGAACTTATGCAATATATAATTATAGAAATTAAACCTAAAACTATTAAAATTATTTATAGAATGCAAGAATTATGTACGTAAAATAAAATATTATTTATTTAATTTACAAGAATCGTGATAACGACAATCTAATACTGGTTTGGATAATCGAGGTTCAGATAGCTGAGGCTCTTATTTGTTTTCTAGTATACTCGAGAGAATAAAAGACATTAAATGCAAATAGGAAATAGAGAAAGTTTAATTAGTGTACGAAACAGTCAGTTTAATACACATTAAAAATACGACTGTTTCATCAGTCATTTATTTTACTGTGTAATTTGAAAGATCGATTTGTGATGCCAGTGCAATTAACCGATGAGGATGAAACTGCAAATATTGAATGCAGAAATAAAGATATCACTGTATGTTGTCAGTATATATACGTGGGTTGCTGCAAAAGTTTGGGAAAGCATCAGGAAACACAAATAACTTTCAACTCGTGGTTATATTTTTTTTCAAAATATTCTCCTTGAATATTAATATATTTTCAATTGTGCCGTGTCAACACTTTCTAACCCTACAAATATAAAACTTTGCGAAAATAACATAAATTTCTGCGTTAAAAGATTCCTGAAACTTTTGTAGCAACCTACATAATAAGTTAATACAATGCAATACATTGACTTTGCATCCTATAAATTTACGATAAACCGATAAGGAAGTATGTAATTACCTCAGAGAAAATTACCTTAATTATAACACTGCTAATACTTACGTGACTGTAAACATAAGAATGGCTCACAAGGAAAGGTATCGAATTCGAAAATTCAAAAAATGATGAACTTTGAAGGAGTGAAACCACCCCTTAAAAAAATGTAAATTCTTTTTTCCTCGGATTATCTTGAAAACAGTAATAGACAGCGAAAAAGAGTTTCAACAAAGAATACATTATTCTTTCATGTCTATAAAATTGTAAAATAAAATTTTTTAGCGCGTAAAAGAAGTCTGCGTAAGTGAGGGGTCATGCGTACGCTAATGATGCGAACGATGACTGCTCGCAGACAGTCTAGTGACACTCTCATGGCGAAAAGTTACCCTCTCCATACCTACTATATGCTTCTCACGTTAGCACCACCAACCACCAAGCTAAAAGTGTAGAGGGGTAAGGGGACTCATCCACTCACGATGCTCGGGCTACGTCGCCTTTTGACGTACGATAATTATTGGCGAGTAGCAATAACGATGAAGAGAAATGTAACGATAGAAAACGAAATTCTCTATAGTTCAGTCTCACTCCGTTGCATTGCAATAATGACCATGCGTTGAAGGTCGAAGTAGAGATAGATTAGAGATAGTGGGAGAACGCTGTTTTGGTGTTACTAGCGTGAGGGGAGTCAGTTAGACACTTCTGGGTTAAGGGATGAAAGTGCGCTATCGTATGATTACAATACGACGCTAGTAATAATTTATAATTTTCAGATTACCTTGGGACCTGGAAGTCCGGGAGCTCCAGACGGACCAATCGGTCCAATCGGTCCTGACGCTCCTTTCTCACCCGGTGGCCCGACACCGCCTGGGGAGCCTTGTCTGCCTTCGTGTCCAGGAAGCCCTTCGGCTCCCGGAGGACCGGGTGGCCCCGGGGGTCCAGGTTCTCCTGGTTCTCCCTGTTACGTTCCAAGAGTGTTACGTCGTTACCGCTTTCTTCCGGCGAGAGCCCTCAACAAGAGTGTCTCTCGGTACTCGTCGGTTTGTTTCATAAATGGAAGGAACAGGAACGGGACAGTGGACCAATTTCCCGATGGTGTGTAGAAAAAGAGGCAATCGTAAGAAACGAAGAAAGATAGGAGGAGACAGTGGATTCAAAGAGAAAAGGTGAACAGATGGAAGAAAATTGCGGACAGTGGCGAAAAGAAGCAGGCAGAAAAAATTGCGCGTGGAAATAAAGTCATACGGCAACGATTCGTTATCGTGTAGGTTAACCCGTTAATTGCGTTTGACGAGTATGCACGCCATCATGCGATCAAAATGATACTAATTTTTTCAACGATCAATTGTTTATGTTTTCAGATAAACGTGTAATTCTTCTTTGTTTTAACTTTTCGTTAGAATATATTATAGGTGTATCTGGCTTGCGTTTGACGAGTATACACTTCATTACTTGATTTCAGTGCGAGCGTTATCACAGATTTTTGAAATTAAATTCCACAGTTAACAAGTTAATTTCGGGTGAGATGGCTCTGTAGGTAAGATGGTCCGGTCTCATTTAACACGTTAGTGAACAACTTCTGTTTCAATAGTAATGGTCGTAGTTATGATATTTCATTAAATATTTCATTAAATGTTTACATTTAGAAGACCGCCGGAAAAAAGAACTGTAACTATAACATTTTTTATTAACTGAACTGATTCAACAGATTTTACTAAAAATTATGTTCTATGAATGCAAGAAAGGTATTTAATGAACTGCAAATGTCCTCAATTCAAGATTTACTAAATAACAAGAGAAACAAATAAACAAAAGAAATGACAATGCGTCGTTAAGAGAAAAATGGGAGTTCCCTCTATTCGATTGGTTAGGTGTTACAAAAAAAATCTCGTCCAGTTACTACACGTTGCACCATGTTACGATTTCAGATAAAAACACGCGAAAGTAATTTTATTTTCTTTGTGCAAGATATAAAATGTCGAATGTCACAATGATAGTCGCGAAGGTGTTAAATCGTCAGATTTCTATATTTTCAATTGTTTTTAGTCGTATTGGATCTTACACAGAGGCATATTTAACTATTCCGTTTGTATGTATTTGCTTTTATAAATATATTTCTTTTCATCGATGATACTTATGATGTAATGGTTCTTTTAAAAAAAGTGAGCCTTCTCTTCTCGTTTTATCTTATTATTGGAAAATGTAATAAATACTTGGTAGCAGGATTGTCTTCATCTTTCTATTGAAGCATCCATAGATCATGAATTTGGAAACAATATTACGAATTTTTTTTACATTTAGAATTACCGTTTATATTTATTTATATTCAGTCCATTTGTATACTACAAAGCCTTTGTTTAATCTTTTGCACTTGAAAGTTCATCACAAAAATATTCAATATTTTCCGAATGTTTGAAACTTAAAGAAAAATCATATGTAAATCACGAAGCAAAGCTATTTTATTACAATATTTCGCGATTGATTTATTATACAATGCTCGATATTAAATATGAAACTTTATAATTTGGATGTATAGTCCATGTGTAATGTTTATTGCGAAATATTACGAAAGTTACGTTTAACATTTCTGATGCATGGACGTCTGTAGATAACTTTCGGCAGTTAAGGAATTAAGTGAGTTGTTCTTTCTCCTATACAAGTTGTTCTAGATTCTGTAATAACTGTTATTCGGCGAACAATTCTCGGGTAAGAGAATTAGTAAGAATATAATACTCTGTTACATAAAACTTTATTACCTAAGACTCTTTGTTAGGTTTTCAATTTGTGAAATCATTTCAAGCAAATGTCTTTACTTTAAAAGATTTCTTTCTCATTTTAGGAACTTTAGAACAGTAGAACTTCTCGCCAGAGTTTGATCGTTCCAATGTTATCCAGAAAATCTTGTGAAGCATAGAGAAGTTTCACGAATAAGCTTTTTTACGAGTTCAGGATTTTATGGAGGGTCGCGTATATACTTCCTTTTACTCATTAGTCTCGTGTATAATAATTATATACTTGTCTTATCATCACTTTTTAAGTTCATGTATGTATCATACCATTCATTCTCAGTACAATTTATTTTTACGATTTCCTTCGACAATATTACTTATTTTTAAATAATTCCAATATTATTATAATTTACACACAATAATCAGAATACTGGCGGGAAGTAACACTGATATAATTAAAATAATCTTTATGATAGTTATTCAAAGACTAATTATACATTACATATAAAGCAGAGAATATCTATAAAAATAGAACTTGTAAAACGAAACTAGAAAACTCTGAAAAGAAATAGATAAAAATTATTTCCTTTTAGAGAACTTAGCTATGGTACTAGTGACGGAACTGAACATAATTTTATAATTTAATTCCATTGATTAACTAAACTGAATCCTATGAACATACATTCATGAAAACAGTGTCTGACCTTACATTCCACGCACAGTTTGAAATTTTTCAAGCGGTCATGCATGAAGCAAGTAACAACGGACTTAAGAAATCTATTTTATGTTGCTATTTGATAAAGATCAACTTTAATGTATCTTAATAAAAATGTTTTCTTTTCCTTTGTAAGTACTTGACTTTTATAAAGATGTTCAGATGCAAGAAAAAGTACAAATCGCTAAGAATTTAATGAATTATTATTAATTATTATTATCAGTATAATAATTAATTAAAGGTTAACAAGTTAAATTTGTCCACTTTCCGCAATTCACCAGAGCATATTACGAATCACCCTACAAGATTTTCGAGTCAAGAGGTCGAATGGCTACCCAATTTCTGTCCACGTAAATAATCTATAAGCACACATAACGAAATTGTTTCCGCATATTTACCGTGTCCACAAGACTATTCACATGCATTGCGGAAAAAGTCCGCAAGTCCTGTGAATGCTCTATGAAAACCTGTACGTGCATACCAAAACACATGAGTCAACACGTAAATCGTGCTTCAACATGTGAATTTTAATTTTCAGTCCACGTAACCCTTTTTTCTTACATTTAAATTGAAAATAAGAGAAACAATATACCTTTCACGTTGAAAGCTGTTTCTATGCTGTTGACAAGATCAATACTAGATCGGGGTGACAAGTGTATATCTGACTGAAGCGGCTGTTATCAAGCTGTCATAGCTTTTTACATTCCTATCAATTTTTTTTCGCCTGTCTATTTGAAAATAGGGCGGCTATTAATATGCTCTTGCGGATTTCAATGGATTTGTGTCTGATATTTTACTAAATATTTCACACGCTGGAATCTAAGACAACAAGAAATGTTTCTGTCTTTCCTTCGGTGTATAATTGTTATCCACGCATGCGTCTATGATTAATTTGCCTCTATTAATCGGAAGTGACTGAACAACTAAACTAAAGGCGCAATTTCTTTATTCATAATTATTATCATATTATGGAGAAATCACCTCTTTAATTTTCTTTCATGTCATATTCAGAATCGTGCATACTAAAGAAATCTGTGATCTTAATGGTAAAGATTTACCATATATTCTTTAAAAATATATTTATTATAAATGTTAATAATAAATATTACAAATTTTTTAATATTTATCGCGTATTTTTTCGCGTGAAGTTTAATGATTTTGTACAGATAGACAAAAGAAGTATAATTCAATTATGTTTAAGCCTTTAGTGGCCTTTCGATGGCATCGTCTTGAGACCACATATTTCAATATCGGTAAAATGCGAATTACTGGATTGGTCGCGAAAATAACAGTATAAAATTGATACAGTAGTAGCTATCTATTTTTTTGACAGTTACAGAATAATATTTTTAATAAAAATATTTATTTTCGTTAAAAATGGTAAGTTAGTTAACGCATATTATGAGAATAAATGTATTTTTTCTAAACATTTTTATTTGGGACCTAAAGGGATACAACAGTAAGTACTGAAATTTGAAATGTGAATATTTCGAAAGAACTAAGTACGTGTCTTTACAGTGGAGTACTTTTAAAACAGAACGATATACATTATTAGGAAACCTCAACTAAATTCGTGAGTTCTGGAATCCTGTCATTGTATCTTTAAAAATAATAAAAATTTAAGTGTTTCTTTGTGTACATTGTACTGGCTATAAGAAATATAAATTGATACAAATTTTGCGCGAAATATAATTATTAGAAATTTTCAGTTCATTAGTTCATTAGAAACTGAAAGGTTCCAAAAGTTAATTAACACAGACAGTGACCTAATATTATGTGTTTGAATACAGATAATATATAATAAGTCAGTACAAAAAGAAATTTTGATTATACTGGAGACAAATTTTAAAGGAAATTATCAACGCTTTGCACTGAACACCGCAAGATATAACTTGGAAACGAAAACACATATATGTAATATATACGGGGTACCCATTTGAATCTATAAATGTAATTATCTCCGAAACTATTCATTATTTTAAAAATGTCTCAAATCCAAATTTTTCTACTTTAAGAGGGCAGTAATTTCGTACACTTAGTTCTTCTCTAGATGGATGTTTGTAGGACATATAAAGGTCAGTATTATGTTTTCAAGGTAGTAAGTTATTTCCTACAAAAAATTGATCAAAACAGAAAAAATAACATTTGAGACATTTTTTAAATAACGAACTGTTCCGGGAATGATTGCATTTATAGATTAAAATAAGACGCTCTGTACTTAAAGAACACGTAAGCACGCACAAGTGTGCTTTTACGTGCTTAGACGCACCATGCGAATACTTGTACTTATTTATGCAGAGGATTTTCAGTTGCACATTCGTATATTAAGACACGTGAATTATACGTCAACTCTACGCTCTCAAGTAGTTATATTTATAGAGAGGGGAATAAAAAAAACTAACATGCAATACAAGAACGTACACACATGCGAATTCATTCGTTCACGTAGGTATTGTTGATCTCGCGCGAGCTGTTTGGAAGAGAACATGCAGAAAAGACAGGGCCGTGCTCTTTTTCTGAACATCTGTTTGTCACTGCTTAATTACAGAGTATGGCATTTAGATGTGTAATATACCTAATTAAGCTCCAAATCTAATAAACTTTATAATACTCGAATATTGTAAGCATTATATCTATGAAAATGAAAAGAAACGGTATGGAAACCAGTACTTACATGTAAATTGCTAGTTATGATCAAAACACGAAATAGTTTCAGACTTATTTGTAAAATTAGCAATCATGTTTACTTCTCGAAGATTGACCGTTTATTATTTAGCTAATATTAGAACCACTTATTCAGTGATAACGCGATAACATTGCATCTATTTATTTGTTTCAATTTAGTGAAAAAAAAAGCTTAATCAAAATTGTTTTGTATAGAACACCTACTGCTGCATGGGAATATTTGGCTATTGACTATTTTCTGTGTAAAAGAATTTTTTCTGTGATTAGAGATCGCATGAATTATCTTGTCCAACAGAAATTACTATAGGTCAATTCATTATAGCGATAATAATTGTATCTGAACAAAGAGCTATCGTTTGTTATTACGGTAAAAATTAAAATTTTTTTAATTGATCGTCATTCATAATATTGAACGCGAATTAAGCTCATATTCTTTTCAGATTTCATTTTACTTATCATTTAGAGCATCACCAACAATCAAGAACAAGGAACTATAATGATATTCTAGTGAAATATGTGCCAAAATATTTGCAATTTTAATAATCAAATCTACGATGTGGATGATTGAATGTTTTGTGATTTGGTAAAACTGAGGTTCAATGCTAGAACTACTGAGCGTTTAATGTGATTAATGTGTAATGCTTATAAAAACTGTTACAACAAATATTTTTCGGCTTCTTAATATTTTCCGTATAGTATTGAAGTGAAACTCTTTATTTTTAAAATCATTTCGAATATTTTACACCTTCAAGATATTAATAATTGGAAAATACGGAAATTGAAACCCGACGTCTTAACGAGTACGGCAGTTCTAGTGTTAACCTTTTGGCCTAAGATTTATTTCTTAACCGTGATCGATAGAACTACTTTATCATTAATAAGTAATTTATCAGAAAAAGAAGAGGATTTGATACTTATTCTATGTTTATGTTTACTGCAAAAGTTAACGATTGATAATAAAAAAGTAATAATTAATAATTGAAAAAAAATAACACTTAGATTTGTCAAATTCGATAAAAAATTTTCGTCGTGAGTCTGATAAGATATTGTAGCTCAAGGGGTTAAGATACTTAGTTCCAATGATCTTAACATCGCAGTTTTACCTGTGAATTTGTCAGTCAGTAACAAACGAACTTCAAACTACGATCCTAGAAGTCACTTTATTATTGTATATTTTTAGTGAACATATGGTTTTAGAGGTCTGGTCTTCGTTCCTAATAATTACAGCCGCATCGTAAACCTCTGGAAGCGTCGCTTTAATTAATGGCCTGGAGAACCAATGAATCCTTAGCTTGACCCTCTTTCCCTTCTCGCACTGCGGACTTTCCGGCGATAACATTCTATTTCTCGCCACTTTTCTGTAGCGGACTTTATAGCCACATACTTCGCAGCAAGTGGTGGCTACAATCCTACGAAAGACTGCTCCCCAAGAGGTAATAAGAAGAAACGATTTGATGATCGTGTCATTGCGACTTTCCAGTATTTTAACCTTTTAGCTACTATATGCCACCATAGTGGCTCACTTCTTTCGGTGTTATCGATGACTGTGCACATTGCAGTCTAATCCAAGCTTGTTCAACTCACGACTCAAGGCGGTTGTGAACGCGGCCCAACAAAAAATCATAAGCTTACAAATTTTATAAGAATACGACTAAAAGACCCATTAATAATGCTACAGGTACATACGATTTGTTTCAGGCTTTCACGGCCAGGAATACTATGAGAAGTGTTCATACTTTTCGAGTTTAACTGAGTTTATTAGGAATTGTTTCCAGACGTTTCGCTAGCATTGCAGCTGGCATCATGCACATGCATAATCAGCAATACGGTGTTTTAAATTGATCAGCTGATCAATTCAAAACACCGTATTGGCGATTATCCACCCGCAAATCCAAGCAAGGTATGGTTACATAGGAACCACTGATTCTGGCTAATCAGTATTAGTGAGTCCTCATCCCCCTGATGATGCCAGCTGCAATGCTAGCAAAACGTCGGGAAACAATTCGTAATGGACTCAGTTTATACCCAGAAACTTTGAACCATTCTCACTACAAGTACATGTTAAACATGCTATTAACCCTTTGTAGACGAGAATATTTCAAACCTTTAAAAACACTTTCCATGCAAAATTTAATTATGTACCGAAATCTTAAATATCAGAAAGAAGAATACCACGTATCAATCTCTGATTATCTGAATAATTAAGTTATTCATTCACAACTATAGAAGTCGCCATTATGGAGACATTCGACAGCAAAGGGTTAATTTATGTGCGGCTCATAACCACCTTTCTTTTTCTAATGAGGCTCAAGGTATCTAAAAGGTTGGACACCTCTGGTCTGATCTAATGTGATTTCAGAGTGGAAAATTCTATCAGTTTCAAATCGTAGTATTACTTATTACACGCAGTCTGCGTCAAACTTTGCCGTACAGAGCTTCGCGACTAGTCTCGCCGTAGCTAAAAGGTTAATACAGGTAAACCTCGAATAACACGATAAAAAATTGTGTAACATACCACCCGAATTGTACGGTTTCTTTAACATTAGAATAACCAGCATATTGATTTATTATATTGATAGATTTTGGTGTATTCAGGTATTCTATATGCGAAATTTTAAAATCAGATAAGGTTAATGAAAAATAAATTGGCGTATATAAGTACTTATTACTTTATTTTGAGTACGGCCAACATAAACCTTAATAAAATCGTCGTAACAGTATTTGCAATGTAAAATAAGAAATTTTATATCCGCCATTTTAACACTTGAGCACCCGGGCTATGAAATCCGCCAAACGCCGGACGTTGTATGGAATCATTTAATGAAAATTAATTCTGTTTTTATACGTGGGAAAAAATCGATTGAAAAAGTATACACAATATTACGATTGTTTCATAAAAAGTATTTTATTCCATGGATCATAAATTAAGAAAATTTCACAGGAAGGAAATTTTACTTTGTTTGACTTTACAGAACAAAAACGCGTTAATGCGTCAACAATTTGACGGTTAACCCTTTAGATCTCAAATAAAATTTTTTAGGAAAAATATATTTACTTTTACAATATACATTAACTAACCCATCATTTTTAACGAAAATAAATATTCTATAAAAAATGCTATTCTAACCGTCAAGAAAATAAGTGGCGATTTCATATCGATTTATACTCATCTGAATTAAGTTGATCTCGCGAATAATCTAGCAACACTGGTTCGCTTTTTACTGATGTTGAAATATGTGGTTTCAAGACGATGCCACCGGGAATTAAAGGGGTTAAAGTGTTAATAGGTTTGGTCATTCTAGTGTTAAAGTTTACAAAGCTACGAGGATTTCTTACAACGGTGGGGGAAATACACTTGTGCTACGTCAAACAGATAGCCTAGGTATGTTATGTTTCATTCGAATGTAGACTTGTGTTTATTTTAAAATAACGTTAAATATTCTATGATAGATCTTATAAAATATTGTAAGAAAATATTAAATGGACCCAACATCGTAATGTTTTGTGTATAGCAAAGAGAAAAACTGTTTTATATCGCTCTATATTGTTCTTGGTTGCTTGTCATCGACCATAGTTTCCGATTCGTTTCTGTTCTTTCGTTCACAGTTTATACCGTTGATTTTAAACAGAAGCGACAACTTTATTCTAAAGGTTGTTTGAAATTTGCGGCACGGCCCTGAAGAAAGAGGTAGAAAAGAGTGAAACGATACTCGGTTTAAAATTGTAAAATAGGAAGGTGCTGGAGAAGTACAGATTTTAGTAAGATGTGCATGTAGAAAGGGGTATTTCGATACGTTTCGTTTTACATAAGTAAACGTATCCATGAATAGTCCCTTTACGCACGCACCGCTCGATTCAGCAAGTAAAAACCATTCTATAATATATTTTCGACTTTGATCAAATAAAATACGTGGTGAAAAAAAAGTGTTGCCCATATTTTTCAGTTTTTTAGTTAGTTAGTTATTTTTACTTTTATACTTTTCAGTTTTTTTCGACAGAAATACGAAAGCGCGAAGACGTATATTAGATTTTCTGATGCTGATGTTCGAAAAATCGTCGATTCGAGTAATTCAATGTCTTTTCTCTATTAAGTACACATGAATAAACCATGACGGTTATCGTCTCGTAAAATTGGCGGTGTTCAATCGAGCACACTTTTTCGTATCAAAAGACCGGTGATTTTACAAATATTTCGCCTGCGAAGAAAATACTAAGTCGAACTCTTGTAGAATCGATGAGGGGGAAAGGAAAAGGAGAAAGGAGAAAGGAGGGGCTCCCAAAGAGCAGGCGCACTTACTTTCAGTTGTATGATGGTCTGCGCTGAGATATTATGCCCTTGCTCCTGAAGTCCCTAGAAGTAGGTCAACACTACGGGTAAAAACCAAATCGCTACCAGACGAAAACATAGGTGGTAAAAGGGGGTAGGTAAGAAAAACCTAAAATGGATATTTCAGGGTATCTCGTTTCTCATTGCTCTTCCGAATCCAAGACATGCCCAGAGATATACCTAAATACTGTAACTTAAAGTAAGTAAGTACCATTACCAACCAAAAACCAAGGATAAACAAAAGTGCGACGATTAACACTTCGATGGAAAACATAACCGCTTCGATGCAAAACGTATGTATTTGAACCATGAAACAATCCATGGAAAAAGTTGTTCGCCTAGTGAACATTATTAAGAATAATCTATTATCGAATCACAGTTTACAATTGCATCAGCCACACGAACGAAACGCTGGCATAATTCACCAATTTATCCCGACAGAAGTGCACATGTGAAACTTGCGCACAAGTTAGAATCCAGCGCGAGATAACGCACCGGTGAACGGCATGAATCAACTTTTTCCTTGACACGGGACGTCTAATTGCACATCGGCCGATCTTTGCAACAATTGAGCGCGTAACGGAGCGTTTTTCGTTGAAGCAAAGTGTCGCCGCACTTTAAACGAACGAGAACGTTACACCGAAAGCACCGTACGAGGCAACGACTAGAAATAGGATTGCGTCTAGGAGTACGGCTAGGTAACTCGGTGTGGGTAGCTTTCAAACAAGGAAACGAAATGTGGACTGGCGGGGTTCGCTACTGAATACGAGGATTAAAAAAAGGAGTGGGGAAGGGGTGGAGGAAGAGGAACAGGAAGAAGAGGAACAGGAGGAGGAACCGGAGGAAGACGAAGACAAAGACGAAGAAGGGAGAGGTGGAATAGTAGAAGATGCAGGAGCAACGACGACGAGAAGAGATTTTTCTGAGCTACAACACGAGCCGTGTTGCCTTTCAGAAGAGGCCGGTTACCTTCAGAGCGACGATTTCCGCATAGCCGAGCGTCCCGCCGCGGAGTGTCGTCACCGACCTCTTTAACCCTAATCCCTGTGCATTGACCCGTAGGCGAAAAGATGATTTATATTGTTAATCTGCATCATCGAAGATCGATACGTCGTCGAGAGAATAAAAATACATTAAACCTTGCGCCACGTGGCAATCAAGAATCCGTATAAGGACCCAAGGCTCATCTATCTTACAAAGAATTAACGCTGTTAGCTATTGAGATTCGATGTTAACAGTTTAGTTGCGAAAACAGTTTTGTTTCTGCGACATCGAGACAACGACTGTTGGAATAAATGAACGTTTACTTAAATTGTAATTAAATCACCAGTTATATTATTTCTGTAGAATTGAATCTTTACATTTGACAGTAGTTTTTGTAATAGATATTCATCGCTTTATGTTATGATATTTTAATGCAGCTAATATAAAAACAATTTTGCAGTAATCAAAACGAAAATGTTTTATTTCAATATTTTATATGCTGATATGTTATGTATAATTTAATCTTGAATATCAAATTTTATTATTTTGCTGGCTTGTATCAAATAGCGACTGAACGTTGTCTCTTCAATACAAAGGATTAACATTAATCAGTTGTGAATATACATGATAATAATTATGCAATGAAAAATTATAAATAATTGAACTTCTTCTAACGTTGTTAACTTGTTTATTTGTCTTTTTAACGTCTAATTGTTCCAAACTTATTTCGGAAGATAGGGATCTAGATCGATAAATTATTCTCATTGTTATGACTCGAATAGGTTAATCATAATTCGTACGTCTACAGTCGTTGTCGATGAAGTCAGTATACTCTCACAGAAGATACTAAGCTGGTCTTATAGATTTTCTTAATGACCACGTAACAAGTCATCGGTATAATTCAATGAGAGGCATTGTTCGGTATTCATGATCGAGAACGAGACTCCGACTTTCTAAGTACAGAAATATACATATGCATATTCGTATGCAGTATACCATTGCAACTAAAATAACATTGACAAAAAGTATCTTCTCTGTTTGCTTCTGTTTAGGAATATAAAACTTCCGTTGCCGCTAAAAACAGTCATTGTTCTCGATCATCTCACGAGCCAACGAGAAACATTGGTAATCATCGTGTAACAATTTACACAAAATATCTGGCGTACGATCACTTAATTATATAGAGTTAAAAATTGTTTCAACTGGAAAATTTCAGACATAATCGAATTTATTCGAAACCAGTTTTACTTAGAACACGTCTATGCATTCATTACAGTTAATAGAGACTCTTTGTTCGCAGAGGAAGTTCAAAATGGAAAACATTGAAATTTTTTTATATATGTTTCGAGCAATTATTGATGAAGTGAAACGAAGTATTTTCTTAAATAAACTTTATTTACTTGTTATAAGTGAATATTATTTAATAAATTAGATCAGGAGGAATAAATATTTTGAAACAGATAAATTTCATCAACCAATTCGGAAAAGCACAAAAACAATATAAAACAAACAAATGTTATCGATTTATAAAACTAACGAATGTCATGAAGTTTGACGCGCGTTTTGAATATTTCTAACAATTATTTTACTGTTAATTTTTTATATAGGTTAAAATGATTTAAAATTATTCTGTATTGTAAAATATAAAATATACGTATACCATTGTAATTGTACATATTTCTTTTAAAGGCCATACTTTAATATTATAAAATTTGTGTGCTCGAGATAGAAGGAATATAAATTATACATTAGTGGCCAAACAACGAATACAATTTTTCATGCTATACCTGTCGGCATAAAAGAAACTCTTGGTACTCATTAGATATTTTCAAACTTTCATTTAATGTTTCTTAAGTCTTGTTACATTCATAATTCCCATTAAATTTTTCTGCAAGAATGCAAGAGCAATTTGAAGGTTAAACTTGATTAAAAGTGAAAATGTAGAAGCGTCGGAAACTTTCTGGTGGATATAGAATAAGCTGCAAAATTCAATTTACATTCATAGCGTAGCAGTATCACCGGAAGACAATTAACGCAATTATACAACTTCGATTTGTCTAGGCCATTAAAACGTGAATTTGACACTAGTTTTGGTTAAATACTCAAGTTTATTATACTTCCCCCTTCAATTTTTCTTTTGAACTCATTAAAAAATCACGAATTCACGAATTTTTCCTAGAAAACGTACATTTTTTAATAATCACAGAAAAAGGTGAAGTTTTTTATACTCTAAACATAAGTTAATTGTAATACGATATTTTCAGTAATACCAACTCCGAAGAAGTTTTTATGTAAGATATGACGTGTTCTAAATATTAAAATACTGTACGATAAATATAAGCGTATATAAAGAATCGTGATAATTAAATCATACAATATAAGTAAAATATAACGATATTTTTCAGTTGAAACATATCTGTCTCGTGTAACATCTGTAACAGATAGCGTGAACATGAATAATCAATATTTTTTTTATCCATTAAACACATCGTTTTATGCATCGCTGTCAGTTTCTTCGTCGCATCGATTGATTAACATCTCGTTAACCAGACAGCTGCTTTTTGACTTTGTACAACTCGTCTGTGATAAAACGATAAAACGATGCGTTTTTGTGTTACGTACGCTGGACTGTAGCGGGAAAATCCGCTCCTCTCGCGCCGTATGAGTCTCGTTAGATAGCGTAGTTAGATACCTTTACTGCAGAAAAAACGTCAAAGCCTGGACTTCCGAGTTCTCCTTTCTGCCCTTTTTCTCCCTGGAAAACAAAATATCGCTGTACTTCATAGAAAAACAACCGATCACTGCGGTAAAATAAGAAACAAAAACATTGTATTATAAGTAACGATTAAAATAAGTTTCGAGTTTTATTCCATACGTAATTTTATTTTGATTATGATAACATTTTCTTACTTTCAATGAATTGTGTTGAAATATGCAGTTCGAATATTCGGTCATTCCATAAGTAGTGTCGTTTACTATGTAAAAGAATTTTTAATGCTATTTCGAGAATGGTATTGAAATATTAGTTGAAAAATAAAAAAAAAGTTAACATAAAATATGATATTAGTTATGGAATGATCTAAAACAATTTAAGAAATCAGGGATTCCTAACTGGGAATGAGTAAATCCTTGAGTCGAGCTCATTGTAAAAAGAATTTGTTTTAAAATTGATTGTACATATTAAATTCTTCATTTTCGTCACAATTTCAGATTATTGAAATTTCCAGGTTCAGAACTGGTTATTTATATATGCAATATGAAATAGGTAGTGTGAATGTTGATTTAACTGTTATACTGCTCTTGTTACTTGACATCATGTGGTTATAATATAAATACGTGACTGAATATTTTCTCTTAGCAATATGCATGGTGGATATTTTTTAGTTTTTGTACCTTCCCAATTTTTCAAACAACGAAAAACGAATTAAATAATCTATGATTGGAATGTTCTAAAAGTCTGTAGTAAACTGTTCTAAAGATTAGTAAATTGTATTAATACATAAACGTAAAAATTTAAAAATTTAAAAATAAACTACAGTTCAGTGTAAGACTTCATGTAATACCCGATGATATATTTTTCACATTTTCGATTATACGTGAGATCAATTTGAATTCAATTTTTATAAAAAGAAATTTAACTATTTAAAATAATCAATTCATAATTGTTTTTATACGAATTTCATTAACGACAAAATTCACGAGGCCTCAAATACAAGATGTATATCGAATATTAACATAATAATATTATATAGTATTAAATATATTTCCAATTTTTAAGAAAGTTATAATCACTTACGGCAACACAAAATTTTAATTTTATGAAATTTGTTAATTACATACTGTTAACGTTAAAGTTTCATATTCACTACACGAATCGTAAACCGGAGCTTTAAAATATAATTCTACAATCGTCGCAACGGAAACTAATAATATTAACCTAATATTTTATGGTTTCTTGGAAGAATTGCTTCGGACTGTGCACTTGAAACAATCGATCGACTCCGAAAGATGTCGACTGTAATAGCAAAAAAAGAATAGCGCCGTTCCTATTTCAAGTATGCAAAGGAACTCTTAAACACTGAACGTTAAGTCTACATTGTTCATTTCTGAATAGCACTTACGTCTACATTCGATCCTCCTATACCTTAACTGTTAAACATCATGAATTTATAACTTCAGATAACATAAATTTATGAAGTTTAATCGTTTAACGGAAAGAAATACGAGATATGACAAAAGGTATGATAATACTTTGTCAAAAATATTACATTTAGTTACAAATACATATGAAATATTGGACATCTAATTTCACAAAAGAAAAGTATTAATTAATTTGGGATGAAATTTATGGATTTTTATGATAAGAATTATATTTTAGCAATAATGAATTTTGAAATAATGATTTGTAAAATTATAAGTTAAATACTGACATATGAAGGAACGATAGTATTAGTTATTTTTACGGATATACGATTATTACAGGCAGATGTGTTTTGTATAATCAAAAAAAACTTCTATCACAAATTACACTTGTCTTCGTTTTGTGCAACAGCGAACTCATTACCAAAATTTCTGAAGTTTATACCAGGAAAATACTTTTTTTATTTTGCTTACAGAAGACTATACTCTGTAGTAAGGTATGATACATCTGAAACATTCATCCTCTTGGTGAATGCGTTTTGATAATGCAAAATCTCTTTTCTCAGGATTTCTTGAACTTATTGGTGTACGTTGCCAGTCTTAATCATTTTAAGATTTCTTACGAGGAAAATTAAATGAAATATCTCAACAAAATATAGTTATCCCTAATATTTTCTACTTCTTTTTTGTTATTTAGAAAATAGAAGAACACGACTGATATGATTAAAAAACCACAAATGTTGTTATCTTAGAAATAGAATTCTGCTGAGGATTGAAACTAGAGTACTGGTTATGTCCTTTTCGATTTTCTTGCACACATATTCATGTCATATTGTACACTGAGTTATTTACGAACTAGCATGCTGATAAATTACAATGATTTAACTATCACTTTATAGAAAAAATTCAAATCGGTAATTTTAGAGAAGTAAAACAATTTTCAAGGTATTGCAGGAAATCATTGTTACAGTGTTATTTCCAACCATAAAATTATCTGTATCTTTTCATAGAAAAGTCATGAAAGTAAAGCAACCATGAAAAAAGAATTTTCATTCATCTTTAACTTGAATATTTCTAATATTACTATGAATTTACACAAATTTTTAAGAGATAGAGATAGAATTGTTATGAAACGAAGCGACGGTGTTGTTTTTACATAGAAAGTAAACGATAGTAACTACATATAAAAAAAGGATTTAATTTAATTACACATAAGTAAATTACAACTACTATAATACATAATCGTGAAATTATGAAATGTTTATTATAATGATGGACCACATAAAACGAATACATAGGCATTCCAATATTAACAATTATATTTAAGTACATTATTATTTATATTATATTGTAATATTTAGTTGCATCTATTTTTGCTTTAATTATATCCATGAAGCATTCTTCTGTACTGCACGTTATCTTTTTGGTTTGGGTTATGCCCATGAAATTCTATAATGTAACTTTGAAGAATGTATTTAGTAACTAGCAATTTGTTTAATATTGCAATGTTAGTAATCATGAATGGTTGAATGTTTTACTTATATTACAAGCAAACCTTTTACTAAGCCACATTTCATGTTATGTTTTTATAAATAGCTTCTTAAAACGTATACAAATTTATACACGACTAAAATAATTTCTCTGAAAACAGGATTTCTAGTGCTGTTCACAAGCAAATATTTTCATTACTGAACCACCATCGTGTTTTGTTATTGTTTATACACCTACATTAAAATTACTTTCACAGCAAACTTAATTTTTCCCCAGAAAACGAAACAAAAATGTGTGTACTCCATAAAATCTCAACGAACAGTTTTTTCTTGAAATTCTGCCATGGAAATCATACTCTCGAAACATTCTGCGACATAATTCACAGGAATGAACATTTGTATTGTAATAACAATTTTCTCTTTGCAATAAGTATAATTTAATTTCATTAGCAGAGAAGTATTCAGATTGTTTTATTTTGTAACAAGATTAATTTTCTCTTTGCGGTAGGTACAATTTAATTTCAGCAGCCGCTGTGTATAATGTTTATTTTTTGTTATTGCCTTTCTTGTTTACCCCTTAACTTTGTAATATAGTATACTACATAATGAATATACCACAGCATTGAAAAATTTATTAGTGTCTACGATCTTACCTTCCCATGCACTTTAAGTAATAATTTATTTTCTATATATTTATGTTTAATTATATGAAATTAATTACCACTATACAAAATAACATATTTGCAACGCCACATCATTATTATGTCGAATTCACCATACAATATTTTTACAACATTTAATTTAATCTAAATATACTAATTTGTACGATACGTATATTAAAAGTTAAATATTGTAATCTTTTGAATATTTAATTTAAAAATTAATGTTTCACAGTTTCTGCATTATTCAAGTGTTCTACAACAGTTATAAAAATTTTAAGATTTATACTTATTATACATATTTGTCTACTTTCATATTTAGTGTGTCTAAACATTAATGAATCTAATTCATTTTGATTTCACCCATTTTTAAAAGAAAGTTCAACACATTTTACCTCTGTAAATTACTTCAAATAATAATATTAGAATTCTGATGATTAGATACCACTAAAATCAGAGATTATTTTACACCTTATACTAGAGAAAAGATGAATCTATTCGATTTTAAAGGGCAAACAGAAAAGGTACAAAATCACGTTTCCAATGTTGGAACTAGATTTACGGACGTTTATTCTACATTTTACTCTATCGTTCCTAGAAACCATGTGTTCGTCTATATAAATCGCGAAAATTGTAGCTTCAAAACCAAGGTATTGCAATGCGTATTCGCATAATTGCACGAATCAAAATCGACTAAAGCTGTTACTAAATAATGTTTAAAAAATTCAATATCTGCCAAATTGACGGGTTCCGTAAATCTAGTGTTAAATATCCTAGCCCACGAAATAAATAGCTTATTTCTCAAAAACTAAAAAATTTATTCAAAATAAAAGCCTCGATAACTTTATTTAAAGCACGTTAATCATAACAAAATGTATAATCATTTCCTGTATCACATCCGAACATATCACATTAAATTCACAGTTAAAGTATTAGAGCTTGAGAAAGCAAAGATGTGATTTCAATTTTATTGGACGATATCGCGAGGTATTACACGCGTACCTGCATACCTCGATACGAGACTGAGATGTAAGAAACGTTTACATTCGCGTTACATACTATATAGTCCCAGAGTATTTACTTGTTCGTGCATTTACATCTGTGGACGTACATTCAATGCGGGCCATGACCGTCTGTTTTTCGATCCATACATTCGATCAGCAATCTATATATGTATTTCCTTGAAAAGATGTTACGAACTTCATAGTACACGTTGGGCTATCATATTTATGGCTGATAGGTGGAACGACATTGCTTGTGACTCTTCCATTTCGCTGCATCGAACATGTATATCCGCGATACTTTGATCCAGTTTCTTTTTTTCAATGCTACAAGATTTTTTACGGGCGAATCGGATTTATAGAGAAAATTGTATAAATACTTTATCATTATTGTATAAATAGTATATTGTATATATTGTATAAAACTGAAAAAATTCTGATTTGTTTGATTTTAGTACAAACTTATTACATTTTCATTACTTCAATAAAAATTTAAGATAACACAAAGTGTTATATTCCAGTAATTGTCAACGAAGTAACAACAATGAAAATGAAAAAGTATGAAAGAATCAGGGGAAGAATATGAAAATCATTGGTACACCTGACTGTACAAAATACATATTCCATAAAATCCAAAGTACTATGATATTACAACAGTTACGATGTTCCAGCATCAAATCAAAAGAGTTCAAGTTTTCAAAGAAATTTTCTAAATTGAACGTTCGGAAGTTTAAAACCTTAAATGTAAATCTCAGAAGAAGAAGTATTCAGAAAGAACATCGGATTTTTCAATAAAAAATACAAGCTATTGAAAATCACTTCTTTAGTCGCGGATCTTAGACATAAGCCTGTACTCTTCGTAGAGCCTACAATATAGTAGCCGCTAAGCTACGGCAAGTTCATGCCCTTACCGCTACTATTATCGAGGCAGATGTGAAATTGCAGCTCAGCGAACACTGCGGTCTGTAATGCGCAATCCTACTTCGTGAAGTTAGTTTTGAAACGGCGAGGATACGGAATCACAGCTGTTACAACAAAAATTTCCACAGCAATCAGAAACAATTTACGAAATTGCATCAATTTTAGAGGTGAGTATCTGTGGCAAGAGATTAAACAAACTTCTTCAATTTGATCTCACATGGATGCCATATTGATAGATTACTCAGCGAAGTTTCAACCCCGAAATTCAATTTAGAAATGGCATGTGCTATATATACAGGATGTCTTATTTTAATCTGTTAGGTCGTACCATAAGTTCGTGCCGTTTATTCTTCTACTATACACAGTGAACATTGGATAATTGCAACACTTAACGGGACCCGGAGGTTGTAATTATGAAGAGGTAGAATCGAATCGATCACAGAAGATAAAGATTTTATTCGCATGGTGAACGCAGAAAACGATAACGCAAGTGAAGGAAAAAGAAAGACTGAGAGTCGAAGCGTTCTGCAACGTTAAAAGCTTGCGATGAGCTGCGATGACTTTCAATTCGCAAACCAAACTTTTTTATTTTTGACTTTTGATGAGTGAAACTTTCACCGTCACGTTTGTCATGCGGTTTTGATTAAAATGACACCAAACACGATAGAATTACGATCTTAATTACTTGTATAATAAACAATTAAAGTTTCGGATATAGAAAAGAACGTTGTATGTTAAAAGTAATCTGGTGGGGATACGGTGGTATAATGTTAATTGTATTGTTTCTAGAAGCGTTGATGTTCGTTCATTTCGATCTTGGAAATTATTTAAAAGTAGACAATTAGGATACATATTCTTGATATGGTGGGGATAACGATGTTGCAATTTTGGAGAGATTTTCGATCTTGTTGATGTACAAGAATTTTCAATTTAATAAAATTACTTAATTTTTTATTTATTTTATACAATAAATAAAATAAAATATATAAAAAAATAAAGTAATATTCTATTAAATTAAAAATTTTTAAAACTTCACGACTTGTCCCTCTGAATACTTTCTATTGACTAAACTGCAGCATAAAGTTACCAAAGTCCTCGTATCGCTCTGTAGTTACAAAACGCAACGCGAGAAGTATAAACAGACCGTGACAAGAACTTATGTGACAGCCTAATATAAATGCAATTATTTCCAGAACTATTCGTCATATAAGAAATGTCTCAAACTTTTTCTGCTTCGATCGGCTTTCGACGCAGATAGGTCAACACTTTTTTGTAGAGAATGACAGCGATTGTTGCAAACAAAATTACATGATTACACTTGAAAAATGGTAGTGACTTTCATATTTCTTACATACGTGTCTTCTCTCCTAATTATTGTCTCCTCAAAACAAAAAAATTTGCACTTCAGACACTTTTTAACCTGTTAACTATGGAATTTAGTTTCAAAAATGTCTTGTTCTGCGCGCTATAAAATCAAAAAATTAAGCCTGTACTCGTAAAACGCAAAACGAATACACCTAGGGTATATTTTAACGAAAAAACAAAGCAAAGAACAATTAAATGTTTACCTGGAAAAATAAATAATTCGTCGTTGAAATAATTAGTATCATTGAAGCTTTAAGATGACGCGTATACTCGTCACATGCAGTTAACTGGTTACATAACGAATAGTTATTAGTGGTAATTGCATTTATAGATGAAAATGGAACATCTTGTATGTAATGGTTACAGAGCATGTTCCATCAGCGAATTGACTAGATTCACTTTGTCTAATAATAATACGATTAAATATTATTCCTGCATCTACCTTGAGAAGTCGATTGATCGATTTCGATCGGAATGTTATTAAAGCATTGATTACGCGAAACTAGTTTATTTGTACCTCGTCGACGAGTTAGCCAGTCATGATAGTGATTTTAGTTTATTGCTGATAATTTACGGCTTCCTATTGGCGGTGTAAGCAGCATATTTAATAGCCATGAATTATTTCATCCTTGAATAACGGGTAAACTATTCCCTGTAACCTACATTCAATTTCTTTTTATTGGAAATTGAAACACGGAAAAAATGTAACTCTTTATGTACTTATTATAGTTTGGCTGCATTAATTGTGTTGATAAAATGTACCTTTCTTTTGCTTATGCTCAAAATAATGTGTACAGGCTGAGATAAAGTATTTCCAACTATATTAATCTCTTAATGCATAAATTTTCTCGGTATGCAATATTATATACAAACTTCAAGTCAATCATTACCCATGTTTCCATTTGATTATCAATATAACATTGTTACCGTTCAATTTTTATCAACCAAAGTTTTTCGCTAATATGGAAGAAATAAATTATAATCTTGAATTTAAATAAATTAGTAAAGTTTAATACAGTCCTTCGTAAATTCTTCGAGCCTGTGTATGTCACGGAACTGTGCATTAAGCGGTTGATAACGATAAAAATGTTAATACTTAATTTTTCTCTTTGCTAAGTAGATGATTGCATTCTTGATCTCTATTAAAATTATTTTTCTTGTGCTTGAAATATATTTAACTTTAATTAATTGTAGTGAAATGATTGGCGCGAATTTACGTTTTAAAGCGAATATTAATTATTTCTTCGTCAAAATAAGTAAGTACTATTAAAAAATGATAGTCACTCTAAGAAAATTCTTTGACATTTTCATTTACTAAGATACAATAAATTAATGTGAAAAACACAACAATATTGACGTGTCCCGTTTTATGCATATACAGATAGTTTAAAAACATCTCCATACATCACATTCAGATTTATTTATTTGTCATTTAAACAAAACAAAAATACTCATATTGATGGTATACATAAATTTATTACCGCTAATTTTTCTAGTTATTAGTCACTTGGTTCTCCTGTTACGTTAATATTATTTTGCATCCTCTTTTGCAGTATTTCAACCAATTTCTTAATGAACTCTTATTGCATATTATGTCACTTAAGCCATTTTTTTAATTTTCTGACTTATTTATTCTTAATGATATATATTTGTTAATCTCCTTTTTAAGTCAGTCAAGACGCTTTCGATAGGATTCACATTTTGAAATTATGGAGGTGTACAAATTTATTTGGAAACATTGTATAACAACTATGTTTTAATTATTTTAAACTGTAATTATGTTGAAAATTTTCATTTGTTCATATACTATGGTAACACTCATTTTCTAAAATATTAAGATGAACATGTTAAATTATAAATCCAATGTTATAGATGCTCCCTACCCCACTGTTGTGTTGATAAAAGTTCAAACTATAGTGATATCACTGCCATTTTTAAATGATAGGTACACAATTTTACATTACACTTACATATGTCAAAAGAATTTTTAAAAAACGTTAAATTTACATTCATCACTGGATATAATTGTGTTCTAGCAATTTTCATTCTTAAAAATATGTAACTTCGAATCGAGACGTTTTATTTCTATTCTGAACCATTTGTAGTACTATTTTTATATTACAATCACTTTTGGTCATTTTTACTAATTATCCTAATTATTTTTTATCATTAGAGCAATTCATCTAAGTCAGTATTTATTTCTGGTTTCTATTATGTTACCACTTTCCTTTATCTTATTTTTAGAAGTTGAAGACAAAGTTATACATTTTTTATGCGAATAATAACCAATGTACTTCTAAATATAACAACATAGATGTTACTTATTTATTATCTGTTTTAATTGAAAGCATAATATATTTATTAAGTAATTTTGAATATGAGAATTTTTGGAGATTATCTATATTTATTGTTGTGCTACTCTAAAAAAATGTGTTTAATGGAGACAATGAATTCATTACTAAATTAAGTTAATAAATAAATCAATATATATATATAAATATACATAAATATATCAATATATACACCAATAAATTGGTAGGCATTTCTCACCAGGTTTATTTCTATAAATTATCAAGGTTCAAAAATTCACATTTCTCCACAATGATGCTTGAGATGATCTCGAACAGCTAAGATTACGTAAATATAAAAAAATGCAAGAATAATATGTGTTATTATTATTTTTAAGTTGGCTTAATGATATGACTATTTAGAAAAATGTCAACTTTTCTAACACGTACGATTAATGAAATTTTAAACTGTATTCCGAGAAACTTTGTATATTCCCGATTATTACCAGTAATAATAATAGCAATAGTGGATGTACTTGAATCCATAACACTACCGAAAAATTTTCACGAAATAAGCTACGTGTTAACTCACCGGTTCACCTTTTGGTCCGTCCAACCCGATGGGTCCCTGAAAGAAGATATTAGTAAGTTCGGATACTCGGTTGGCGGTGACGGAGGCGAAAGAAAGTGAAAAATCGGAAAGGCTGTGGACTGCCTTTGAAAAAAAAAAATAATTCTTCGTGAACGTAATGTGTACGCACTGAAACACATGTATACAACAGACAATGGTGTGATCCATGTGAGTGTAGGTCGCAGTATATCGAAGTGCTTCCAAATATGTCTACCTTGTGATTATCAAGATTAATTACTGTTAAATGGATATCGATGCTAGATACGTAACTACACGTCACCTTGCAATATGCACTATGTAATTGCGTTTCTAATAAGAATACAGTAGGCCGTCGATTAACCGGTAAATAAGCAGTTTTAAAATTAGATTTAAAATTTTGTTTCCTTTCGTACATGTAACTTTTTATGAATTCCTATGTTGTTCGATTAACACTAGAATTACCGATCATTTCATACGATTGATATGTAATACCTACAAAAATTATAACAATAAATTATTTTCAGTTTCTTCAGGCGTTCATTATAGTGTTCAACTGAAACTATTTATTTTCAAAATCATTTCGAGTACCAATGCTTTGAAAGTATTATATTAATAACTGCGAAACAAGAAAAACTAAAACCAGTCATATTTACTGATACAGTAGTTTTAGTGTTAATCAATTTTTCAATTTTTATGTTCTCTTTTGTTTCTCTTTCCACTGAGACAAATTTATCGTTTAATTTGTTTACCTTTATTTCGTAGCCAGCTATTTGACTCGTTATGGTAAGAATAGATATATACAAAGTGCCGGTACTTTTATTGTTAATTAAGTCACTACCTCTCGCGAACCAGATTGTTTACAGTTTTGATTATTCATAAACTTAATACTAGAACTACTGAGCATTTGTTGGGGTTGACATGTAATCCCTATAAAAATTCTAACAGTATATGTTTCTTGACTTCTCCAGATATTCGTTGTAGTATATAAGTGAAACTATTTATTTTTAAAATCATTTCAGATATCGTATACCTTTAAAATATCAATAATTGCAAAATAAGGAAAGTAAAACCTATTGTTCTGACGGTTACGGTAGTTCTAGTATTAATAATTAGAATTCTCAGATTACATTGAATCATGTCATAAATAATACGGCTTTTTATATTTCTTATATTTTTAAAAATAAAGATAAACAAAAGTTTTTTTTAAGTAATTATAATATATAGATAAACAATTTATAAATACTGAAGGAGAAAATGTTTTAGATTAAAAACAGTTTTGTTTATATTTATTTTAAAAAATAAAATAAATGTAAAAAACCACATTATTTATGAGATGACTCAATACCCTAAGACATATAAAATCGAATTTTGCAAACACATTTCGCAGAACTTTTTCTTGTGTTTCATTTGGATTATTAGGGTACGTTTGTAGCGACGGTGTGATGGAAATTGGCAACAACACATTCGTTGACGGCTACTGTATGTGCAGTATTTTAGTTCTGTCTAATGAGTCATTATTGCATATACAGCACACCTTTCTTCAATTTTTATAGTCAACACAGTAGGGAAACTTACAAGAGAAATTATCTGTCTAATCTATTTACGTTTATCATATATACAGGAATCAGACTCCTGTCTTTCTATTGGCAATAACAATAAAGAATTCACCCAACAAACATGATAAGAAAGGTGTGTCGATTAGAGCGACGATAAAATATCTTTTTTTGGTGCGTTTACAGTGGAGCTACTGAAAGCTGCTGCAGTTGAAGAAGAATTATTATCTTGAAGCTTCGTAAAGTGATATGCGACGAAGAAAATGCGTTGTAAATGTTACGTACTCTATTGCAATCATTATACGTGACACTATGACTCGTTTTATCCCTTGCACTATATGCACTACAGAACTATTTCATTGTTCATAATTCGTAAGAAAAGTTAAAAAATCCTCCGCTCATTCTACATCTACATACATTTATTCTGAAAAGATAATAGAAAAGTAGTATTGCATTTAGACTTGAAATAATTAAGTAGCATTTATATTCGTTAAATTTTATTTGGAAGCTTCAATATTACAGGACAAGGGATAAAACGTAAACGCTTTTATTAGAAGACAAAAGCATGTATCTCTACGCTTCGCTCTCATCGGTGATTTTATCGAGTACCGTAGCTCTCTTATAAATTTACCTTTAGTTGACTAATTAAATTTTATGATCGAGGTTCTACTGTATCAGAAGGTGATAACAGGATGCAAAGAAGATATGGTTACAAAGGTATGCGTGACGCTGACGAACCACATTGGTCGCCATATGTCTATGCTCCTTATTGCAGTAATGCATTATGGGACTCGAGGATGATACAACTGAACTAAATTACTGTTCATAGAACAATCGAAGGTACTTACGTATTATATGGACTACCATTGTTTTAAAAAAATGTAATTTTATAGATAAGGTAATAATAAGGTAATAATAAGGTAATAATCAGGTAATAATAAAATATTAACCCTCTGCGAATCGAATGTCGCCGTAATGGCAACTTTGAGCTTCGATATCTAAAATTGAAAACTGCAAGTGGATAATTTAGTTATTCAACTAGCGAGAGACTGACATGTGGCTTTTTTTCTTTTAGTATTTAAGACTTCGATGCATAATTCAGTTGTATTATGAAAACTAATGTCAGAAGTTTAAGATAGTCTCGTCAGCAAAGAGTTAATAGAAAATTGTCGACCGTTAAAGGTTATTAATGTTAAATAAATGTTTTATAATGTTAAATAAATACTTAGACTTAACCCAAATAACTTACCAACGGGACCTTTAATTAGGAAACGAAGGTGGTCCGTTGTAATATGCGAGTACCCAATCGAAATGTAAAAGAATGTGACAAGGGATTCAATACTCTATTTTAGGACTTGTAGATATAAAAATATTTTTTTTATATACAGTAGGTACTTTTATGTATAGTAGGAAGCAGGATCGATATTTTTGTTTTTTTGAATATATTTTTCGTAATCTTTATATTTTTTTTGGAATAAATATTTTTTCCGATTTCGTTATCCATAATTTGTTACTATATATTCGTTTCATAAATAAATTTTTACAAATAGAAATTGTTCTTCAAATATTAAGAAACTTTAACACTAATGATTTAAAACTTTAAAATATGATTAGAACAATGGCAGAATAGAGTGTAAGAAAGTTACATAAGTTTTTGAGCAGTTTGTCGCGAGTTATGTTTTGACAGATTTCATAGTGCTATTATAAAACCTATTGCATCCGTTATCAAGCTTGACAAATGACAAACTGGATCGCGTTTAGGCACTTAACAATCAGTTGAAACGATTACAATTTTAAACTAAAAGTATTTGGAATGTGTTTATCTTTAAACGAATTAATAATTTAATACATTATTAATGATGAAGTAAAACACAATAAAATAAAATAAAGTAAAAATAATAGAATAAAATTAATTAATAAGAGACAGAATTTTTATAAGAATTCTTTTCTTTTATTCTTTTCATGAGTCTAACATTGAAGTAGACACATAAATTCTTGAATTGCCGTTGTCTGTTCCAATTCTATGTAATGTTGCAGTATTGCCCTTTCACTGCCCATACAATCCATCACACTATATTTCGAGACGATCCCTTATGCCAGAGATAGCTACGTCTCCGCACAAAGCAATGTACAATTACTATAAGTTAACTCTATAATATGACCTGATTATTATATAATGAACAGCATATTTGGAAGCAAAAATTATACGTATGTATGATGTATATGTATGCACGATGTATGACACTATGTATAATAGAACAAGATAACAGGTGGGCATCGCACGAAAATTCGGGAGAGAAGCACAGTTCGTAGTTGCTGAAAAGTATATGGAAAAATAAAACGGACAGAACGATCAAAAAGAAGACTATAATGCTATGCAACTAACAGAAAATACGATTTAGTAGATGTTATGTACGAATGTGAGAAACATTAACAGGATAGCTTGTTGAGACGAAAGTTGTGTCAGAAAGAAATAGAATAGCCGAGAGTCAGAGAGATAAAAGACTGGAATGAAAATAAAAAATAATATACCGGAAAACCGTTCTTGCCCGGCGCCCCGGCCACGCCCTGTAAGAAGGGGTATACAAAATTAAAAAATCATTTACACCGAAATGGGTTAGGTACTTTCAGGTTCATGCAAAAGCAGCTATATTGCGGACCAATCGTATACGCAACATTATCCCGATAAATATGGGTAATTCTATAAATAATCCGATCTTTACATAGTTTTTTACTTTTTCAAATGCAGACAAACGAAACTTTCTTTAATCTAAAATATATTCTTTTTAGTTGTCCATGAATCACGAAGGAGAATATGTTTTGGATTAAAAAACAATAAACGATAAATAGATTTTTTTTAATTTAAAATATATTTTTCTTCTTAATCTGTAGACTATGAAGGAGAATATATTTAGGTTTACAAAACCAATATACAAAACATTTTTTCTCCTTCAGTATCCACACACCATGGAGGACATTATATTTTAGATTAAAAACAGTTTTGTTCATCCTAATTTTTAAAAGTAAAAAACGTAAAAAGACTGTATTAGTTATGGAATAACCAGTACATACATTCGCTTGCAGAATGCATTACAGGGATAATTGATCCAACCAATTAGATATTCTTGTAACGATTAATCACACGTATGTACGGTTTTCGGCATGATTTCCTTATTAAAGCTCGATTCCTTCGTTACACGATTTTTCAAGTTGAATTTATCCAAAGATTCGAAATCGAAGTGTTGACGTGATTTTATCGTGTTAACGATGAAACAACATGATTCGAAAAATCGACTAAAAATTAGATTTTTATACACGTTGAACACAAAACTTATGAGTACCACGTTTTTCTTTGCTTGAAATGCGTCTAATTAACAGTTGTACAAATTGTTGATCTAATACCATTAATATTCTTCATTTCCTTTTCCATCCTCTGCATAGGATATTTTCATTGCAATCAGTTTACTTTTCGCACGAACATATGCTCTGTGTTTACATGACATAAATGTACGTAGATACACATTTTAGCATGCACGTGATATGAGCCACTCATTAGCAAAATCGGTTAGCTTCTCAAAACAAATAGTAGAGGAAGGTGATGCAGTAGCTATACATTGATTATGAAAATTTCCTTTTAAATAGAAAATTAAATAATTATTATTGAACGTATTTTACTTAATTATTACAAGTGTAACTTTCATTTAAAGAATATGTAAAATGTATAAAACAGTGTAACTTCGAAATAATGTTTATTATTACTGCAAGTTTTGTATTGCCAATAGAATTTTTATTATTTCGTAGTATCTCACCCAATAATAAGAAAATTTATTTTAAATATAGAAAGTCAGAAACCAATGAAGGTTTTTAACGATAAAATCTTATAAAATTCAAAAAGGGAGTTAATCGATTTGGCCAATGGGTAGCTCATATATCGTTTACTTACGTTTATATACTGGACTACGAAAGTATATAAAATATGATGCACAATACAAATGGAATCTTTGGGATATTTTGAAATTTGATGCATAAAGTGCTCATGTGGATTACGCGAGTAAATTGTATTCAAATCGAATAATACGCATCTGAGGTGGAATGATTTTATTAAGTTAATGATTTTCTCTGTATTCTAAATACTTTCGTGGACCAATGTACGTCACATTTATTTTCAATCTTGCTATAACCAAAAACACTTTTATTATCAACGTAGTCATAGTAATTTCCACTTTAATAACAAATCAGAACTCGAGTAAATAGAAATTTGCAGTTATAATATCATGTACAATGGAAATTATGCTTGATTTCATCAAAAGTGCGGAAGTACACTGCCGATCAAAAATTTGGAACCACTTGATATGTAACGTGACAAACTAAAAATTATATATCTTACAAGTATGTAAAATAAAACAACAAAAAGTATACATCTTTATATTTAACTAATTAGCATATGTCCATGTCCTTTTATCATAGAGAAAAATTCTCCAATAAAGGTCGTTTACAAAAAATGGAAGTTTTTCTTTTAACCTATGTATTGGTCCCAAACATTTGACCGGTAGTGTGTATTAAACATTTTTGTATACAGATGAGAAATGTATAAACTTTCGTTCGCACTGTCATTTATCGATTGATGCATATTAAAGAAAATGGAATAATTATTGTTTTAATGGAATCATAATACTCGAATTGAAACAATTAGAAATCTGATATAACCACCTGACTGCCTTCGCAATAAATACATATTATTAAGAATATTGATAATACAAAGATCTTACATAATTTCTGTTATAATTGTAATATAACAAAAATTCAAATATTCCGAGAGAATTAATTTTCATTATTCTTCTGAGTTCTTAATTACGAGTAAGGTAAAGGCACCAGTAATAGACGTGGCAGCAGTAGTTGACCATTTTTCAAAAAAAAGGAAAAAATATGGTTTTCAAAAATAACAATCATTCGATAAAGCCGCAATGAATATGCTGCAACATCTACCGACCCAATACACTTTTATCTGAATTAAATCGTTTATCGTAAAAACTGACGATTTATTTCATTAATGTTGCTTTTATGCTTCCGTACTGTAATTTCCCTAAGGTTGTCGTTAAGAAACAGTGTATAATTCATAGTAAAAGATTAACTTCTTTTCATTTGCATTTGTCTTTTTATTTGTAATTCGTCATAATCGTTGCAAATAAATAATATTAAAGTAATCACCTTTAGTGTTTTTGGTTTTGCAATAAGCGGTCAACTACTAACTGACATATGGTTAATCACTAGATAGTTTTTTCGTTTTCAAGGATGGTCAACTTCTGACGCAGTATTGAATTTTCAAAAATGTCTGTCAAATTTAGATAATATAATTACTTCAAAAAAGTTCGCTTTGTTACATAATGTAAAAAGTTTAAACAGCATTTCCTGCATTGAGTCGCTATTTAATAAAGGAGCAAGCGTTTACTTTTATTCACGCAGAAAATTTGTCTTAACTGCATAGTCAACTGTTGGTGCTTTTACCTTAATTCTTTACGACATTATATTTTCTGCGAAATTGAAAAAGAAATAAAATCCGGTAGTCAGGAGGATAAGTCTGATGAATTTATCATGTTCGATCCATCGTGGACGCGTGTATCATCGTTCGGAAACAGCCGCGCGTACATAACGTGTTTATCGTCGGTTATGAATTCGAGAAGATTCGCTTGTACACCGTCAGTAAATACAACATGCGTAAAACTGCACTCTAAAATACGAAAACGTTACAGTACAAGGTACGTACATAGAAGCATATCGGATGCGCTACGGGAGGAAGGATCGTAGTGCTTCCTGCTGTAGAAGCGGATGTACTCACCTGAGGGCCTACTTCCCCGGCGTCTCCTTTCTTTCCTTTTTTCCCTCTTTGTCCAGCAGGACCTCGTTTCCCGGGTGGACCTATGGAAGAACGAACGATAAATTGACACGCACCGTGACCTAACGTACGCCCATCTGTCCACTGTTTTTATGTAAATTATAATGAAATTTTCTTATCGACCTTTGAATCGTATCATAAATTACTACATTACCTAGGGATGTTTTATCACCTGTCATTTTATAGTTTTATATAAACATCTACGTGTACCTTGTTTATTGTTATACTTAATTTATCCAAAATACATTTCGTACCAATTGAATTCACGAAGTTAAGTTTCTTCGAAACGAGATAAGCTGTCTATGTTACACGAAAGATGAATAAATGTTATTTCGTAGCACTAACATATTGACCGCCATGGTGGTCATCGACGGCCGGAGCTTCTAGATTCTTTGAAAGCAATAATAATAAAATATTGATGCCGAATGAAAATATTTAATCACACAAGTAACTAAATAATAACATAACTGAAGAACTATGATATCAAATCATTAATAATTGATTCTAATTCAATTTGTCTTGGTTACGAAAGAATAAGTAACATTATAAAAGACGCTCAAAATTTTCGTGACAGTCAACGTGTTAACCCCATGCCGTACAATATCGAGTTAGACTTGTGAGGAAGTCCCCAAATCGAAGATAGAAGGTTTGAATGTCGTTGAATTGCTTTTGGTACAAATTAACACGTTGAATGCCATGGAAGCCACCGGTGACCCCCAACCAAATCAAATCACTATAATTCACTCAATTAAACGATGATTAGATTTCCATATTATAAATAATATTACCTAGAGCAGTAACATTCAACGAGATAAACGTGCAATAACAATAACGTAGTTCAATTCAATAATTCAATATTATATGTTCCCTAATTTCGTGTATTTTGTTCCGTGAAATTGTGCGGTGTTCAACGTGTTAAATACTATTAAACGCGGATATAGATAAATTTGGAATTCTTCTTTGCTTTAGGGTAAATTATTGATGTAAAGTTACTTTAGAAAAAAAAAGAAATCGTAAATCAAGGGGTTAATAAACGTTATTCAGTATTCGGGAATCAAGGTCTGTCGTTCTACGTTTGATCCGTAAATAGTGTATTCAAAAAAGTGTCCCGACCTGCGATGTGAACTAACTACATATGTACATACACCTGTCCCTCCATATACGCGGAGCGTCCATTGTACGTGGATTCGTTTTACATCAATGAAAATCGCGTTAATAGAGTCTGCCAGTAGAAAACAAAATAAAATATAGGAAAGAAAAGCTGGTATAAGTTTTAGAAATACATATTTATTTTGCACATTTTAACAAAATAATAATAATAATGACATTTCAGAAAACAAAAATAAGTTTTAATTCGCTGTCAGTAAATTAGAACCATCTAAATACATACCACGTGTAAATAGTACCATGTAAATAGTGTTATAATTTACCGCGTAAACAAGAGACTCGCGTAACAGAAGTGCCATGTAAATGGAGGGACAGGTGTAATGTGGCGGGAAACAGAGATTGGACGACGCAGTAACATTGGGTTATCCTATAAATAATGCGGTGTTAATGTACATGTATTTAGTTAGTGCGAATAATAAATCACACAATACGATCGTATTATTCGAATATTTGACATATAAGAATTATAAATAAAATTTATTTAAGAAATTTTTAAATATACCTTCTTATAAATATTATGTTATATAATAAATAATATAATATTATATATTTTATTCATAAGGATTATAAATAAAATCTATTTATGAAATTTTTAAATATGCCTTTTTATAAGTATTTTATTCATTTTGATTAATTTATACTAAAATGAACACGTTTATTATTTAACCAAGTATTTTAATAGCGTGGATTGCATTTTCTGTTGCTTTCTCATATTTTTGTACGTGTAATGATAAACTCGTAGTACTTTGTTCAAGTCTTTATTAATTCACGTTGATCCATGTTTGGACGGTTTCATTTTTATGTAAAACATCGTATCGATAAAAGAAATCTTGCGAACCTCGCATTAACTGAATTTTTATTCGCACTATACTTCTTTATTACCTGTGTCCCGTCGCGAAATAAAATAAGACGGTCGATCATTAAAAGGTCGCGTTACGGCTTCGTGTATGGGCTTGGTTTATGACACGGGCGAGAACGTTTGAGCGTAAGGGGCGGTAAGCTAGGGCCTGACCCGCCGCCGATCGTAGAGACCGGGTTTGGACTTGCCGCCCCGTTAGAAGGTGTCCCTGCCATAAACCATGCAAATTTTCACGCAACGTCGAAGGTCACTCGCGGACATGTGAACTCGCACATGGTACCAAGGTAACGGGATTTTCCGCCGTTGCTAGACTTGCGCTTTTTCCAAAAAACTCAGCAGCTTCTTGCACCCACTCTACGGTCGTTCCTTTTCCACGCATCGAAGAAGGGGGCGAAATTCGTTATTTTAGGGGCGCAAGAGCGGCGATGAATATAGTCGAAAACGAGAGTCCAACACATACGATTAGACGCAACCAAGTTGAATGTTCGGAACTATTGGGAATTTCACAATTCTTCCTCGCGAACAACTTAGTTAACACTTTGACTGGCAGGTAAATACTCAAACTCGTATGCAGTCGAAACAGTTTTCATAATAAAACAGAAACTAAAAAGTCAAAATTCTTTATAACGGTTGCTCTACGGTCTTTCTTATATCTCGTGTATCCAACAAAATTCGATTCGTCGGATACGTTACTAAGAAAATGAATGTTTAAGTTTATGTAAAAAATGGTGTCACCCGAATTTGGGTGACGTGGCAGTTAAAGTATTAAATGTACCACTTGCTCCGCCAAGCGGATCTAGGTGCCCAAATGTAAGTAGGCCAGCACCACGCGATCGTTCGAGGATAAAACGCGTCAATGTCCGAGAACACGTACTGCTAGGAGATTACTTGATGGCTACACTGAGAAATTCGGATGATTGATCCGTTTTCATTTCTTCTCACCCAATTGTCTGTTGATTTTATGTCTTAGTCTCTAATATTTTCAATCGTTGATTTACAGTTCGTCGATACAGTTACGCGTAACCAATCAAAACTATGAAACTGTAAATTAGAAAGACACCTCTTGCTCCTGTGTGTTCCGCTAAACATCAAGTCATCTCCCAACTGTACTGTGCAGCTCTCACGTCTCGAGTCAATTCTAAAAGCTAAAAGTACACAGGGGCAAGGAGAATTGCGGTAAACATAAAAAGCCGCCGTTGCGTAGAAACGAAATTCGACGTCAATGTTCGTTACACCTAACTCCGTCGCATTCTGTCCCGCCTACTTTCTTCGTCATGCGGCTCGGCCAATGACATCAACTGTTGTTTTATAGTTATTGACGCGAGCATCCTGAGTGGAAAAGTCCTCTTGCCCCTGTGACTTTTTGATTTTTAGGATTAACTCATGATATACGAGCTGCATAGTGCCACCTCGGCGATACAACCTGTTTTCCACCACTCTAACAGTACCTGTACTCTGTTTTTTTGATAAATTAAAATAAACAAAAACCTTTTTAATCCAATCATACTATACAGACAAATGATTTATGGACAATGAACGAGAAACATTTTAGATTAAAAAATGTTCTGTTTATCTCAATTTCACAAAATAAAAAGAAATACACGAAAATTGCATTATTTATGGAATGACTCGATACTTAAATGGCGAGCAAACCGCTGCGTTCGCCGTGTTGAAATTAAAATTAAATAATTTAACCAGCCGTGTTCGGTTATTCATCGTCAAAGATACTGTTGAAACACCGACGTCGGCGTGTGAAACACGTTGCGTATCGTTGCAGAACGTAAAATTGATTAACTTCGAGGCACACGAATTTTGAGGGAAAGCTTTAGCTTTGATCGTCGGTTGCGTTACGTTTAATAACAAGGTTTGTAATAAAAGCATTATCGTAGGAACCTCGCCGTAACACGGGGACATCGATGCGGAAAAATGGTTTCGAACGCTTTTAACGTTTCCCACGTCCCTCCCGTTCTATCACAACGACCACCCGCTGGGATTGCTAGTTCATCTTTCCACTTAACTGACACGACCGGAACATGTTGTTTTAACAAACCCAATTTTTGAATAGCTAGTGAGGTCGTCAAGTTAAACTGTCGCGTTCAAAACACGTTATCCTCGCGTGCTTTCTTGCTGTTCGGTTTTTCTTCTTTTCTAAGGATTATGTTGACCTCTCGCAGAAGTAATGTCGTTCATGCCTTCCTCATAAATGTAGAAGTACAGTAGGATTTTAATTTGGTTATATTTTATCTCTATATTTTAACACTAACCGTACCGGCACTTTCTGTATACCTATTTCTGTTGTAAGCAGGCAAATAATTAACTACAAAAGAAAGGTAAGTAAGTTAGATAATAAATTTGTCTTAGTGGAAACAGAAACAAGAGAGAACATGATTGAAATAATCTTGAAAATAAATAGTTTAGCTCCAATACTATAATGAATGTCTAAAGAAACTAATTTACATACATCTATTTGCATTCAATTTACATCGTCTGAAGAATAATTTACATACATAATGATTACATATTAATCGTATTAAATGCTCGGTAGTTCTAGTGTTAAATCGGATAATTGAACCGTTTATTTTCAAAGTGGCTTAACGCCACTTAAAAAAGGTAAAAAAACCATTAAAGAATAAACAAAGTATATGAAATTGTAACTATTATAATGATTAACTTGATTTTATTTTAAAATGGACTTAACTCGCTTTCAAAATAAACGATTCAATTAATTTAATTGGATACACTTTCGAGATATGAAACAGGAGAGATACACAATTAATTCACTCAATCGTCATCCCATTTTCTAACTTTTTGTAATACATGCGCATTTCTATAAACGTTTACATGACTGTTATGTATTAAAGACTAATTGTAACTCTATATTCATTAATAGAACAAATAAGCGACGAAACTAACCAACTCTATCTATTTTGCTCATCAATCTATAACTGTAATTGT